TATTAGTTATGTCGTTGATAGCTTTACTTCTTTTGGAAGATAATTCATACAAAACGAAAAAAAATACCTTTACTAAATTAAATCTAGCATGCCACAATGGATACTACACTTTGAATCAAAATGAATGAGCAACATTTCAAAAATGTATCTAGAACTTCAAGAAAATATATAGGCCGGACATAATATTTTTGTAAATATATGTTCAAATATAATTAAGTACTTACTTGATCTTTATGTAGCGGGTAGAGATTTGTGGTAAGGCTGAAGGGCCTTCCCTGAAACAATCATATCTAGTTAAACACTGTCACATAAATCGAAATAATATAGAAAAAAACAATACATAAAATTGAAAGTCATAGAATTAAACTCACTGCTTATCACATGCAACCAATGTGAACCAAATTGGATGATCTCTTTCATTCACTACTCTAGTATTACCACTACTTTTACCTCCTGTTGTCTTAGTAGTAACTTGAATGTGTGCCACATTAATATTTCTTCCACCACCACTAGCATCACCACCACCGCTATAAGAAGGAGGAGGAATATTTTTTTCTTTTTTATTTCTTCCGCGCCGTCCCTTTGGCAAAGGCACATAATCATCGTCTGAAGTCACATTCTCCTCTTCTTCTTCTTCTTCTTCTTCTTCTTCTTCTTCTTCTTCTTCTTCTTCTTCTTCTTCTTCCTCTTCTTCCTATTCCTTGGCATGTTCCTCTTCCTCTTCCTCTTCTTTTTGGTGATCATGCCTAAAAATTAAGCATTATATACAAGGAACAAAATTATAGTATGTACTTCTTACTTGTTCGACATAACCTTGAGTCAAAATCTTATTTTTGTACTTGAGATTTTTTACTTATAATATGTGCTCACTTTGTCTCAAATTATGTGAAACAATACTAAGTACGATGATTAAAACATCTTTGTTTGACCAAGAATTTGGGTATAAATTCTTCACTTTCTTAAAATTTAAATGTATACACAAAAAGTACTCTAAAGCAACATAGCTAATGAATCAAGATAATACTTTTTTAAAAATATATGTATATTTGACTCCTCGAATAATAACACTTAAGCATATAATAGTATGGAGAGAGTATACTCAATGTATCCATATAGCATGAACCAAATAAAAAATAAAGCCAAAAATCAAAAGACAATGACCATTTTTACATATTAAGAAAGAGTAGTGTCTAGGACAATGATATTTGTTATTTTTTATCAGCACGAACATAAAGCAAACTCTTATCACCATAGACATATAGAAGAATAATCTAGGGTTGTATTAGAAATGTTTTTTTTTCACAATTTAAACCAACACTCAACATATGACCATCAGAATACTTGATTTCACTATTGTTTCGGATACAAATCCTTCAAAACATATTTGAAAAAAAAAATATAGTAAGTCAACATAAATAATTATTTAAAAAATTTTGAAAACTAGACTCAAAGAAAACTTTTTCTCTTAACTATCTAAACTGTAACAGTTTTACATAAAAGAAATGACAAAGGGACTATATGACTCTCCATTCCATATTATGTGATAGCATTTTCATGTCCTTTCAAATAAATTTTACATACTAGAAGCAATTTTTTTTATATAAATCACAATAATTAAGAATTCAATACATTTGAATGTTATATGAAAATCAAAATTAGAGAATATACCTGATTTTTGGCAAAGGGGAAACACCTAATTCAGTATTGCATTCTGGACAAACTTTCAATTTTTCTTCTTTTACCTTTCTCATTATGCAATTCTTGCAAACTATAAAAATATTTTTAAAAAATTAATAAAATTCCATTAAAATGATATATAATGAATCGATAAATAAAAAAATGATAAATAAAGAAAAAAATATTAAACCATAATACATAAAAATATATTAGTGTTAATGACTAGGGACAAATGCAACAAACTGATCATACAAGAAAGCTAATAAATAAATAGATTGTTTAATTAAGCAATACGTAAAGTCAATTCATTTCACAAGAACAAATGATTTATCAATAAATTAAAAAAGAAACCCCTAAAATTGAAAAAAAAATGAAAACTTATATCATTTATAGAAATAAATTAATGGAAACAACTAAAAAAATAAAAAAATAAAGATCATGAAATCACTTGTACAGATGATTTATCAAACATCAATCAAATTTAAAAACTAAACCAACCCCCTCCCCCCTCAAAAAAATTACATCTAAATCAATCTTTTTAAAAAAATTGAAAAGAGCGAAAAAATATCTAAAACTCAAGATCGTGGAATGATAAGAACAAATTATTTATCAAAATCATGAAATTACAAGAACAAATAATTTATCAACATCAATCAAATATAAACACCCCAAAAATTAAATTAATTAAAAAAATAGAAATTTTCTTACATCTATGACGACATTCTTCAATAATTGTGACATCTTTGCATAACTTTTTGCAAATTCCACATATCAAAATACTCTTCATCCCAACTTGCCATTTATCAAAACCATACATCTTCCTTCATGCATTGCCAAAAAAAATAAAAAATAATGATAACAAAAAAGAAACCAAAGCAAATATTTTTTTCCCTTAATTATAAACATATACATTCCACTATTTTCATGTAAACCACATATTAAAAAAAAACATAAAAAGAGAAAATAACACACAAAAAAATACCTTGTTTTATTGATTCAGTGTGTATATAAAGCAACAAAGAAAGAAAGTAACAAAAATTATAAAATATTGAATTTTTGGAATTGTTATTTAAATAATTAATATGTGTGAAGAGGTCTCTTTTGAATTACAATGAGTAACAATAATATATAGACAAAATTGGTTTTATGTAGATGATAATAATCGTGAAACTCAACTATTTCTAATTCCATAGCTTTTAATACCATGAATGATACTATAAAACTTCACCCTTTCAAATTCATAGGAAGGCGGTTTTACTGTTTCAGGTTTGGTTTACTTTATTCCTTTTGTTGGGTTGTGTTCAGGTGAGCTTGCCTATAACTTAATTTTTTCAACTTATATATGTTAATTCTTATCAACACGTGTATTAGGTAATCTAAATTGAGACAGATCTATAATTTGAAGTTTATAGATTTTTATAGTGATCTTGAAATTGTGATAAGTGAGCCACGAAGTGATTATTTTTTAGATTATTTTGATAACGGGGTGAAATAAAAATATTAATAAAAGAATTTTCACATATATCTACCAATCACAATTTTCCATCTCAATAATATTTCGTGTCTTACCTGTCATAATTTTCCAAATTTTTTTCTAAATGTCATTCTTCTTCAAGTCAACAAAAAGTTGTCAAATTTGCATGTACTACCTTTTCGTTTAGAAAGAAAAAATAGAATATTTTGATGATAATTGTCTACCTTAAAAGTGGAGGGTCTACCAAGTGAAATTTGTTAGTTCTTATAGTTACATGTTAATGTTATAGTAATCTGTATTTACAAGTCTTTTTTCCTCCAAAATAGTTCCTTCACTTTTCATATTCTCTCTTTTCTTTTCTCATTCACATTTGCTAAATCCCAACATTACATTTATGATCAGTTGATTCACATCAACTTTAAGCGTATCATAATGAAATTTAATTAATTAAATCTTCAACTAGAGAACTTCATAATTCATATTTATGGTGATATTCTATTATATATTTGAAATAGTTGAATTTGGTGTAATAGTGGCAATGATAGATCATCCAAACGAATTTAAATCTAGAAAAAAAAAATTGAATTATTGGATTGCTTTATTAATGAGAGAATTTGATTATGATAAATTTGAATTTATTGTGCCAAATGCTGATAAAGTAGTACAAAATATAATAAGTATATACTCAATGTAGAACATATACATTTGATGAAGTAATCTAAGAAAAAAAATTTATAAAGTGGCTTAGGATGGATTGGTGTCTAAAATAATGATAATGTGATGTTTTTTTAAAAAAATATCTTAATACACATTTTATCTTAATACACGTTTGATCAGAATTTTGAAATTCCCTGTCATCTAAAAAAACTTTAAAAGTCCCCTTTTGTGTATATCATTCTCCTTTACTAATACATCTCTATCCCCTCTTGGATACATCTCTCCCCTCTTTGATAGATCTCTCACCTATATATTCGAATGTCTACTGATGTATCCCAAAGTCCAGTAAAGTATTTGGATATCATATCCCCTCTTTGATACATCCCTCCCATCTCGTATATCTGCTTATGTATCCGAAAGTTCAGTGATGTGTCCGAAATTCATAAATTATAAGAACATAAAATTTATGTAAATTATACATGTTTTTTACCTCTTTTATATTGTTACATTATAACTTCATTTACAAGGGGATTTAGGCATAGAACACGTGCTTTAATCTAAGATAAAAATAACATTTTCCTTGTTCTTTAATAATTTATAAAATATCCTTTTAAATACTTAATTTTTTTTAATTTTCTTTATATTGCATTGGAATAGTTTAAACCATATCTCTCAACCTCAATTAATAATTGTAAACATGTTATATAACAATTAAATGCTAGTTTTGAGACTTACAATTGTTCTGCTTTCCTTAGGTGAAATGTCTGCAACTATTACGATTTGAATCACTAGTTGTCAGGAATCCTCACTTGATCGGATGAATTTCTAGTTCCACAACCAAAAATTCATTTAGTGTTGTAGAGATAAATATTGTCGTTCTCAGGACGATTAGGAGTTGTTTTTTCAACAAATACCCATTGACCCAAAATAGATTACAGCCCATACCATTCTTTAATTTAGGCCAAATTTCCATTCATCCCTCTTTAAATTTAGGTCTAACTTTGCCCCTGCCTCCTAAATTTTAGGCCCATATTCCCCAATCCAAAGCATTTTGGCAGAAATGGACAGTATCAGTTTCATACCCCGAGCCTATACACCTGACGTGACTGGCACTCGAAAACCATTGTTAACCCCAAGAGATCCTTCGTCTGAATTACTTACCTAGTGGAAAACTTAACATAAAAAGATGATCTCAAAACATAACTTTAAAGATATATAAAACTTATCCAAAATGGCAACATAAGTCTTAAATAACATCTGAACAATAATGTAAAGAAAACTGAATTGCTAACTATTTATGAAGCCTCTACAACAAAGAGGAGTTCCGGTACAAGACCACCAATAATACTTACAATAAAAATACTGAAAAAAAGTAAAGGATTCCTCCGAAATAGAAGGAGGTTCACCAAAAAACTCAGAACTTTTCACTGGATCAATGGTGTGCTGGATGCCGATCCTAGTTACGTGTGTCTGCATAATAATAAGATGCAGGCGAAATGACATTAGTACATTGAATGTACGAATATGCGATTGGAATTCTAAAACAAGACATAATGTTGAAAGGAACTAATGAACTTATCTGGCTCAACATAGCTGAGCTCATTTAAATATATAGAAGTTTAAAACAATTGCAATATTAAAAAAAGTTGTTTAAAACGTGAAGTCAATTTATATGTATGCAAAGATACATATAACTCTGAAATGTATGTAAAAATACAGTAAAATGTGTATATAAAAATATAATTACTTCTGTGGGAGTTTTTCTAACCGACAACCATCATGTAAGAGTTGTTGTGATGATACGATGTTTTGCCTCACGTTGCCAAGGCCGTCATATACCTTGCCGAGGGTATAGGAACCTGAAATACTAAGTGGATCTACTACTCTATGCTAAAAATCACTAAGGATTCATCTAAAAATCATGATCCTTTCTACACATGATGGCTAAATGGTTTTTTGGAGCTATGAGTTGTTTGAACTCTCCCCCATATCGGTGCGCAATACTACTCCCAAAATATGATACTAGCTCTTATGTTTAAAAACATACTTCTTTTTGTGATTTGAGATAATTTCTTAAAACATTAGATTAAAGGCGATCTTGGAAATCAAAGTTTCATCTCTTGCTTTATTTAGAAAGCGATTAATCTATTCCTAAAACTAGCTTAAAGGCTCTTACGAAATCTCATTTTCCTTTCTTATTTAAATGTGTAAATATTTTTAAACTCTTAATTGGGAATACATAGTTCCCTTATACTTCTTTTGATGAAATGAACTTCAAACTTTACTCTTTACTCTTTACTCATCTTGAACTTTAAGTCTTAAAACAAAGTTAAAAGCATTTGCAAAAGAAACTTCCTAGACTTGGCTCTGAACTTTCCTTGAATTTGATGTTACGAATTCAAGGTTGTAAATCATGTTTCTGGATTATTTGTAGATGTTCAAGGGTAGAACTAAGATACATCTCATGTATGCACATGGTTAAGGAATATCAAGGGTTTCTTGGTACTTTAGTCTCACCTTAAGTAGAGTTACTACCACAAGCATAACTCGGTGCTTAGCCTTAGTTCTCATAGAAAAATTTCAATCACGATAAGGCATATGAAAAGGTAACATTTCTCAATCTTATCCAACCATAATACCCCTATCAAGGATGGTCCACTAGGGATACCACTCAATGGTCTATAAGGATAACTCAATGAATTCCTTAGAGATGCTTCCATGTTGTTCCAGTCAACCTATCCCTAAGTCTATCATGCACACAAGTAGGATACAACTATCACTTTCAACTTCAAGGATTGTATAACCTTATTTCTATGTTGAAGGTTCCAAGTAATGGACCTTCTTTACATGTTCAAGGTCTCAAACCAATCATCATACACATACATGACAAAAGTGCTTAAGCCTACAAAGTTAAGAGTTCACATTCACACACTTCCATGTATCAAGTAGAGGGACATAGGTCTACCAATCAAGACGTAAACATTATCATATTGAGACATCATCATTGTCTATCATAATCACATACATCAAATTATAATAAATCACACTTTAACCTCACATATACATATACACATAACTATCTCACCTTGATCACCTATACAAGATAGAAATGATAACATCACAACTCACATAAGAATGCCGACAAAGCCATGTTCATAACAATTATACCACATAAACACTGTCACTATAAGTGAATCACACCAATCAATACAATTCAATACCTATACTACACAATATATAGAGATTAGGTCATCTTACCACCTTTCCATTATCAACACCGCATTCCTTAGCCCTTTCAATCAATTCACTTCACAAAGGCTATTACCAATAGCCATATACACAATTCTAAAAAATCTTTCAAATCATCCCAATAATCCAAAAATATACAATATGGATACCATCAAATTAAGGCAGCCTATATACAATTCTATCGTGATCTATACATAATTCAATAGTCTAAGACAATCTACACAAGCATACTATATAATTAGACCCTGATCAAATCACCCACATTAGAACTAAAAATAGGAAATCGTGAAATGCATGGGTGGATTGAGTTTTTTTATCTTAAAACATTTAATAAACATAAATTATATCATAAATCATTGATTCAAATAAGTTTATGCAAGAATCCATGTCTAGAAGTCAAAATAGAAGATTCTATGTTTTTGAACATCTTTGAAAACCGTTGAAATTTGACTCTTTGAATGAAAGAGGATTCAAGGATTAAAAACCATCCCTTAATTTAAGATAAGCCATGAAATAGATGAAGAATCAATGGAGAAATCAAGCTCATATCTTCAACTTTGATCCTAGCTTCAATGGACTTCTAGAGAGTTATATCTTGGTCTTGATTTTTGATTTTGAATAATGAACTCTATTCTAGGTTTTAGACTAACAAAGTAACTTAAAATACACAAAAACACCTTAAATAACCACCCAAGACTTTATTTTTATGCTAGGTGAATCTCCCAAAATACCTTAGTCATGGCCGAGACACCTACAGAAAGTTGAAGGTGTCAATCGACGGAGCTCACCAACAGAGCATCGACCAGATGACGGGCCGTTCCGGCAAGCCTTCGTTTTGATCAAAGGACACTATTTGGGAGATTAAGCTCCCACACCTAAGTGTGGATCAACGCCCATCGATGGAGCGTAATCTAGATTAAGTGGCGTCGTTATTCATCGTGGTTAGAGACTATTTTGAGCAGTATCTAGCCAAAGGATAGGTCCTCCACAAGGACACTTACGGTGGTCCTTGGGAGTCTTGCTCGGATGTTTCAACCCTAAACATGTTCATATAGATGTTAAAAACCTCTCCTATAAATCTTAACTCCAACCAACACGTAAAACATGCAAAGGCACACTAGAATACACAAGCACGTCTAAAAGCTAACTTTCGAACGTCTTGGTTTTTCTTGGACGTTTCACTTCCAAACTCTTCCAAACTTAACACACTGACTTCTAACACTATAATTCATCATTTAAGACCTAGTAAACTCATGAAGCACATGTTAGGATCTATTTCAACCTAGCCCATTGTTTGGGGTGTTACAGGCTATGGGAGGCGCGACGCCCCAAGGCCTTACGGACAGGCATTTTAACTTTTCTTCTCCATTTCTCATCTCTAAGACTTCTAAAATTCTATGGTTCCATCACCAAACACTATGAATCACTAATACCACCAATAAAAAATATATTAGACTCTAAAAATAACCCGAAAACACGAATGAAATCATATCTAGGCTGGCAACAACTTAACCAACAAGAATTCAACAATATTCTTCATGAACTTCACTTTAAATCATTCAATCTACTCAAAATCTCTGAATTAAATAAGTCGGTGTGTGGGTGAACTTAATAACATGAACATATCTCACGTATTATAGGAATCACCCCCGATGAATTTCACTTGCAAAACTTTGGCGTTCTTGACGAATTCTTCATCTTTCTACCTTTTTCTTATTCTCATCTCTCTTCTCCAAGTCATAAGTGTAAAATAACTTTTCTAATCTGAACTAAAACTTATTTTTTACCCAAAATAAATCTCTAAAATTAAATAGGAAATAAATGGGCAAAAAGACAAGTTTGCTTTTCTTTAAATACAGCATTGGATTTTCCTCACTTCAGCAGCCCAACTTTAGATAAGTATATATCCCTCATAGGATATTGGAAGTGCGCAAACTCGAAGGCATTTGAAAGATATCTCCAAGGTATTTTCACCCATATTAAGAGTACCTCTAACTTATCTTGAGCTAGGAGTTATGGCCTTTTGAAATTGACCAAAACTCACTTTCTTAAACTTAAAAAAACTTCAAGATTTTTCCTTATCTTTCCAAAAGTGATAAATTTCAATTTCTTAGCTTATTCTTGGCTATTACGAGTTAAGATATGTTACACCTTCACCGCATAACTTTTTGAAAACTATAAATGTGTATTATTAATTTTAGCTTAGTATCGTTTTTCATAATAATGAACAGTAAATTTTAGACTTAACTTTTACTTAGTGTTGTAGACATGTTTTGGGAAATTTGCTCTTAAAAATTGGAGATATGAAGATTCTCAACTTCAAGAAATTGAAAGTAGGTGTTGGAAATTCTTTATCGTAGACTTGATTGAGCCTGAAATAAAGCATACTGAGTGTATTTTACTTCAATTTCGTATCATTTTCTTGATTTTCTTTATGTTTAGCTAATACCATAATTCTTGAAGTGTGATTTTGTGAATATCGGTTATAGTATTTATTAGGTCTTACTTGTTGATTGTTAATTTTTTGTTAAAATATGATTTCATTTGTAGTTGTGTATGACATTAATGGGGATATAGTTGCAAATATAACTTCACCTCCGTATTCTTTCCTTTCTCAAGGGAGGGGTCACAAATCTAAGACTACTAAATTGATAGCATGTGGTATTATATCAACATGAGGTTCAGCTCAAGAGAGTGAACCCTAGTTCTTTTCCACAAACTCAATTTGAGAGAGTGAGTGGTCTGAGGTTGATGATGTGCTTAATGCAGAAAATCGGTGTTCGAGATAAACCCATTTCGTTCGAGGTAAGTTGCTCGAGAGAGAATTCGGGCTGATTCATACCAAGAGTTGGTACCTTCCATAGCACCTAAGTCAAAAGCGATGTTATTCTAAACATAGTCACACTATCTCTTAAGTTACCTTATTTGAAACAAACGGAATTATAGAATGAAGTAAGAATAGGAATACCATGCCTGAGGTAATGTTACCGCTAGCTGGTAAGCTTAGCAGCACTCCTCAACCATTCTCTTATTTCCTTATACCATACCTCATTTACTACAACTCATACTTCCCACAACTTTACATGACTTCTCTTACCAAGGCTTGATTCAACGGAACACTCTTACTATATTCAAGCTTAACTCAAATCACAAGGTCCGGGTTCTATAAACCTATATAAGGAATCTCATCCTAAGAATATAAATCTTTACCACCATATTAA